CTCCCCTTCCCCCATCTTGCCTAGTTTAAAGCCCTCCGTACCAGGCTGGCCAATCTGTTGGCAACAGAGAGGACAGGTTATTGCTGTCAGGGAGAGGTGTCAAAGCGAGAGGCCCTAGAGATGGAGGAATGCCTTGCTGCTTTTCCCAAACATCCGCATCCCTGCAGTTTGGCAGTGAATACTGCAAGAAGTTCTGAGGGACCACAGCCTCCTAGGCACTGTTATCTGCACAGATCCTAGGTAAGACAGAAAGCAGCTTGCACTTCTTTTTGCTGTAGGAAAAAGAGAAGATAGAACTATATCATTTGCCCATCTTTTATGAAGCTGGAGCCAAAGAAAGAAAGCACAAACACTTTTTCTGCAGACCACACTTGCATGGGCCTGTGGGACAGTTCTCCAAGGTCAGTGCAGACAGTTATGACAAGCCAGAGATGCCTTTCTGAATGTTTGGAAGGTCTCCATCAAGTGTTCACCAACTCCTGTCTGTGCAACAGGACACTGATTGTGAGCTTGTCTGTATGTTCTGTCTGAGTTTCCATGAGTGAGCTTCTTTTCTGGCACACAGTGATTTAGGGACTCCTGAGCCAGAGGCTTTATCTGGACTGTAAAATTTAATGGCTCCGTTCCTCTATCAATTTACCTAATTCCTTGCCGAGTCCATTTAGACTTCCGTTTTCATCCTGAGATAAACTTACTTACCATTTTTTTGCCTGCTGCCTCTACCTCCTGTAGTGTGCCTCCACCACTTATGAGAAGTGCTGAACAACCATTCCCTAATCATTCTGCATCTTTTTATTCACCCCTAGCATGTACTTCAGTACATCATTCTTCAGTACATACTTCAGTACATCATTACTTCAGTAATCTCTTTTTCAAGGTGGACAGTCATGGTCTATTCAGCCTTTTTTGTATGGAAGCCACCCGACACTTCTGATCACCCAACTTGCTCATGTCTGTAACTTTTTCTGGTTCTTTCATTAACTTTTTGAGCTCAGGAAACCAAACTGCACACAGTGGTAAGCACCCTCCGGTTTATACAGTGCCAAATGATGTTTTCTGTTGAAAGTCTATTCCTTTCCTAGTATTTTCTAAAGCTTATTTACTTTTTTAATTGCCCTTGAACCTTCAGCTGATGTTTTCAGAGAATTACCTACCTTCGGATCTACCTCTTGAATGGTAATAGCTACTTTAGAGTCCATCACTGTGTACAGTTAGGGATGTATTTCACTTTATTCTTATCATCACTGAATTTGATTTGCTGCTTTATCACCCACTCACTCAGCATCCTGAAATGCTTCTACAGCTTTTTCTAGCCACCTTTAGATTTGATTGCTCTAAATTAGTTTGCAACACCAGGAAATGTTGCCACCATGTTATTTACTTCTTTTTCTCCATCAGTTATGAATATGCTGAAAAATCTAGCCCCCAAGTACAGATACTCATAGCATCCAACTGGTAATCTCTCTACATTTGAAAATTAACCAGGCAGTCTTATCTTTGCTTCCTAGCTTTGCCAGTTATTGAAGTTATTGATCTGTGATAGCTCAGTGTCTTTGGAAGCGGTTTGCGATGGATCTTTTTGAAAGCTTTTTCGGGCTACATTATATTGATTGGATCGCCTTCGTCCACATACACATTGTCTCCTTCCAAGCATTGTAACAGATGTCCGAGCCATGACTTTCCTCTATAAAAGCCATATCAACTCTTCCTCAAGCTATTATATTCATCCATAAGTTTCCACTAATTCTATGTTTATTACAGTTTCTACCAGCAGACTAGACACAGGAATCAGTCTTCTAACTCTGTAGATCCTTAGATTAGCAAATGATCATTTTAAAAATCGACACCATCTGTGCCACTTTCCATTCCTTTGATATCCAACAGGTTACAGCCTTTGTTAGCAGTTCAGAAATGTCCTGGTGGGAGTTTGGTTGTTGTTTTTGGTAGATGCTCTCCTATCCTGGAGATCTGAAACTATTCATTTGATTGATGAGGTCTATAACTTCTTTGCACTGACCCTTCAAGCTGAATTCCTTCCTTTCATCCCTCACAAAAAAAGGCTCTGACGTGGAAACCCTCTCCACTTCTGCGCTATAGACATCTTCTTCGTATCAAGCGCTCCAAGGAATTCGTGCGGTGTTTCTGCTTTGGTCTTCCCTACCTTCAGCGTCCCTGATATACCTCCTTCTTCTGTCAGCCCTGCAGACACTCTGGCATACTTTCTACTTCTGATAACTGTGAAAAAGTTTTTAACGTTTGTTGTCTTTCGCAAAGTTACTCAGTAACATCAATTTTGGCATGCCTTTTGTGGTTTTTGTTTTCTTTACATTTTTGTTTTCTGGAATGGAATTCATATTGTTTTCTGTATTTCTTGTTCTTTGCAGCTGATGTCCACCTTCTGAATGACATCTTTTACATCTAGTAGTCTTCCTTACTCGGCTCTGTATTCTTTTTGACCCTCTCAGAATTTGGTTTTGATAAGTTGTTTGTATTTATTCAAACCTGCACCAAGGTGCCTGTAAACATCTTCCCTACTGCTCGCTAGCGTTTTACCCTTCTATCTGTTCCTTTTTAATTTCCTTTTAGCAAGTTTCCTACTATTTCTACACATGCAGTTTCTCTGATTTCCCTGAACATGACTTAATCACGCCACCAACTTTGCTGGGTGGTTGATAATAAAGCTTTCACAATATACTTCTATCTGCCTTATTTCTGATAGCAATGTTAGCAGTTTCAGTCCTATTTCTTTTTTTAGGATTCTGAATTTTTAGGACTTCAGAGGATCCCCTATCTTAGCAGACTAAACTGTGGTGTGTGTGCTCCTCTGCATCTGTTGATTATCCTTCAGGTTAACTGGGATGAACACATCCCAGTAACTGTTGTGATAGTACATGTCAGCAGCCCAGCTCCGTCTGGGTTAGCGGAGACCTTCACACCGGTGTACATTCCATCAATTCCCAGTTTCCTCAATTACAAATAAATCTAAATTCTCTGTCCCAGCACTGTTCTCCTGCCCAGACATTGAGACTGTGTTTCTCTCTACCTCTGTGTGTAGTTTTGGGGCCATTTTAGAGAATCCTTATGGGGACTCTGATCTTTAATCTCCTGTTTGACAGCGTATGTTTTGCCTTGGGGATCTCCCTGCTATATCACGCTCAGGTCTACAGTTTCTTCTCAGTACTCTTTCAGAGACTATGTATTGTATACGTATGGCTCTAACTATCATCTCACATTTAGGCATCCAAATGGCCAGTAATAGAATCCCTCAGCACTACAGCCCAACCATTCCTGTGCGGGATCTCTGCTCCCAGAGGGCTGTCATCTGTGCAAGAGGATAAAGGCTATAGTTTGGTAGGGAACATCCCTCTATGCGTTCCGTCACTCCCTTCCCCAAGCTGGATACCCTTCTACCCTGAGATTTACCTCCTGCTCTGCAGCACAAGTACCACTAGACTGGAGATGAGTGTGATGTTCCTAAAAGCCTCACTGATGTATTTCTCTGCCCCCTCTAGACTTACTTTATCCCAGAGGGCCACAGTTTGCCTGCAGCAGCTGCATGAGGGCCACATGCCCCTTATTGCCTGCAGATGTCTGAAGATGATACTTTTAAAATTACTTCTCTTCAGCATCGTCACAGGCAGCCTGAGATGAGCTGATACATTTGGAATGAATCACAAAGAGGAAAAAGAGAGCTACAAAGCAATGCGGATCTGGCTGGATAATGAAGAAATGATTCCTAAATGAGGTTTGCATCAACCAGTATGAACGCTTTTCAAATCAACTATTTCTGCATATTCTTCTTCTAGTTCTTAACAGTATGCTGGATGCCTGCTCACTCATCTGGAGCACAGGTAGGATCCATCTATATGGTCCGGAGGCTGCTTAGCTCCAGCTGGGATATGACATAAAGTTTAGGTGCCTGAGGGAGACTAGTATTAGCCTTAGGCCACTGTTTAGCCCATCTTTTCATCAGAGGCATCTAAAGATTGTGCCTGGATGTTGTTCTAGGCCTGTATGACTGTATCAGGTTGTGGAACCGGGAGAGGATGTCAACAGAAACTAGATAGAAAATAAGTGATTTAAGTATAAAACTATCTCCACCTTGTCCCCCTGAGGCTCTGGTCAGTGAGGAGGTGCTTGTAGCATGGGTGAATGCCTAGGTGGCATGGAAACAGTGAGTCCTGGCAATCATTCTCACTACTTCACCAAAGACTGACGACGACAACACAGCTGTGGGCATCAAGGAGATGCGCAGCAGTTCATTGCCCTCACTTGTGCAGAGGAAGTTGGCTGACACAGGGAGCCCTGCCTAGCTGCTTCCTTCAGGTCTTTTTGAAGTCCTTATTTTTAAGGACTACATGTCTGTAAGGTGCACAAATTCCACTGAACCTTAGCTCTGCATTGTCGTCTCTCTGGATCTTGCAAGCTGTGTTTGCGTCTCCTTTCCTGCTCAGAGAGCTCTTTCCAGAGTATACTTTTGCCTCGTTTTTTTCACAGCTTCACTGCACGGCTCAGTGACTCAGTGTGCTTTGTGCTGAGCTGGATACCCGTTGCTATAATTTCACCTGTTTGTGTCTTTTAATCTATATTTGTTCCCTTGGAAGTGCGGGGAGATACATTAGGGCAGAGGTGCTAGGTAAATACCGAGTATTCTTCTCCCCCACAGGCACACTGGGAGCAGCTATTAAGCTAGGGTAAACAGAGATGACTGCGTGCTCCGCCTGCCAGCAAATCCCGCCGACTGCCTTGCTGATGAGGGTGGGATGCAGCGAAACCTGGAGCTGTTCCTCCCCGAGCAGCCAGCCTTTGCTGGGGAAATAAAAGCTGGAGCCATTGGGTGCTTTGCAAGAGTGGAGATCGAAGCGCAGAGCCCAACTGCCCAGCCAGGCCTGTGGCCAAGGCGCTGTGGCCTGGCTGACGGTACACCATGGGCGGGATCATCCGGGCCACCACTATAAATAGGACTCGCTGAGAGCTGCCCTGGCAAACCGAAAGCTTAATCACTAAGCGTGGAAGAGACAGTGTCAGTGTCAGCCAGGGCAGGGGTGGGGCAAAGAAACTCTAAAGAGGAGGCGTGGTGTTCATATATTATAGTAATGAGGGTAATAGCATGTGCTCTATGCTAATACAGCATCTGTAGGGCTCGGAGGCAACCAGGATATGGACCACAGCGCCTAGGCAGACTGCTCAGGGCTTCCTGACAGGTACCTGCTCTTGTAACAGGAGTAGCATGATGGCTGGAGCTCAGGTAGGGCTCTCAGGATCCTTCCCAGAACCCCAGGTTCGGCCAGGCCCAGACTCCGACTCTGACTCTGACTCTGAGGACCCAGCCATGGGCAGCGCAGGGCCTGGCGCCAGCTCACAGAACCCCTCTCAGGTCATTCACAGTGGCCACTTCATGGTGTCATCTCCGCACAGCGACTCGCTACCTCGGCGGCGTCACCACCGCGCTGAGCCCGAACCTGCTGATCCCCGGAGCATCGACCCGACCCTGACCCGGCTCTTCGAGTGCATGAGCCTGGAGTACAGGTGAGTCTGAGAGCCCTTGCACCCAGCACATATTTCACATAGATACCCCCGGCTCTTTAAAAGCAGTGTGCTTCCCAGCAGTGTGCTGGGAAGGCTGGGCTGTCTTGGCTAATTTACTCTCTAGGAACCTGTTGCTAATTGCAAACTGATGGTGTCCTCATCTTCTTGCCCATTGGGTTGGGATGTGAATTCTGCTCAGGAAAGGCCATCCTGGGAGGTTTCAGGGAGAAAGAGATCATGCTGGGGAGTCTGCCAGGGAGCAAACTGAGAAGTACCTACTCTCTTAACATATAGTTTAACCAAGCCTCTGCCTTCCCAGAACGTCTGTAGTTATTGCACTCAGTTGTAGCACCCTCATGGCCAGGCCCTGCATGCTGTAGTGAGCACTAGTGACCCTGTGTCACTATCAGTCTTCGGCAACCCAGCCCGGGAGTCCTGCTTTCTTGTTCTCTGCTCTGCCCACACTTCCTAAGGTTGTTCCAGGATGCACAGCAACACTTAATGGCTGGAGGACTTCAAGAGGCTTTGTCCAGGGCCTTATGAAATCTTCCTCCCTTCCCTCCTGCACAGTTGCCTTCTCACACTGACAGATGAGTGACTGCATCATTCCCCCCATCCACACAAATCATGCAGAGACATCTCCCATGAGCTCTAGGAACTGGGGATTTGTTCGTTCCACATGTAGCTCCTCAGTGACAATAGGAGAATCCACATAATGTCTCTTAGAGCCTTGATCTATGTTCTTGGAGGCAGCTCCCCTCTTTTACCAAGGGCCCAGGACCTTGAGCTTTCGCAGACCTAGAATCAGGGCAACTTGCTATACTGGCCTCAGTGCAAAACCATTTGCACAGCTTTCCTAAAACATTCAGGTGAAGACATGGAATGATGATGTCTACTAATGTCCCAGGAGAAAAAAAAAGAAAAACAGCCTTGAAAAGTTGTCCAACTCTTGGTCCCTTGCAGGTTTTCATTCAATTGCTAGCCTCTGCAGGGTATGCCTTGAAGTCCCTGGGAGAGAGCTCCAAGTGTCGGAACATGTGGGCACTCTCAGAGCAGTGCCAGTGCCACTGGGTGCTGGGACAACGCTCCACAGGGTACTGGTTGCCACATAGCTGTGTACTTTTGGCCCATGTCAGTCTGCATGCCAGACTGAATGATTTGCTCACAGTCAGTGAGGCACAACTCTCCTCTATGGCATTGGTGAGGAGGCTGGTGCATATGGTGAGCTTCAGCATGGGCAGGGCCCTCAGTGACCCACCCGTGGCCTCAGTGACCCACCCCAAAGTGGCTGTGCATCTTTCAGGAGCCTGGCACTGTCAGGCACATCACCCCTAGGTGTTACACATAGGTGACACCAAGACACTGATAGACTTGCTCTCTTAGCCCCACTTTTCTTGCCCTACTCTGAGTCTTGCTACATAGGCCTAGAGGGGCAGACACTGCTCTGCCCAATGGTGTCCAAGCTGTTGACTCCTGAGAGACATCACAGCCTCTCCTGGGCCTGGACACATCAGCAAAGGGAAACTAGCGTCCTGGGATGCCCCTGACTTCCAGTGGTCCCCAGGCAGAGAGGAAAGGAACAGGGTACAAGTGCTTTGGGAGTGGACTGCAAGGGTGGCATGCTGCCAAAGGCTGGCCCTTACACTGCAGACAGGGCTCCATCCCACCAGATCTCTCTAATCCTCGGACTGCTTCTGGGCTTCATCTCCCTCCTGCACTGAGGATGATAGCGTGCAGACCAGCCCCAAGCCCAGCACCACGGCAGACTGCAACCACAATTGAACAGTAGTCATCAGTGAAGGGGATCGCCACTAGTTACAAAGCATTAGTGCCACCACTGATGGCCACCCTGGAGGACAGAGCCCTAAAGATATCTCCTGGCTGTCTTGGTGCAAGGCTAGCTCTTGCTCAGCACCTTTGGGAGGAGTTAATGGTCTGCCATGCTGTCAAGATAGCTGCAGGCCATGGGACCCATTCAGGGAAAATTTAACATTAGATATGCCCCAAACTTCATGCTCAGTTCATATCTCTGCCAGAGAGGTTCCCATCCTTACACGCTGTCCTTCTCCAGCTCTCAGCCGTAACATTCTGCAGTTTGCCAGCACTTTAGAAATAGGATGACAAGAAGCATTGATCAAGGTGTGATGCAGCCCTGCATCTGCCTTGTCATGGCTAGGATCACACCCTGGCTGCAGATGGCTGTAGAACTAACTACTGCGCTAGCTAGCTGCTGCTCAGGCATTTGTTTTCTCCCTTTGGAAGCCCATGGCATCTTTGCTAATACGTTTTTGGCAGACTGGCAAGCAGCAGTTGGAACAAGGTATCAAGAGGGGAAAAAACGGAGCTTAAAAATATTTAGCTGACCTGCACCTTTACTCTTAGCTGATTAGACCCTTCGCTGCATGGTTTGCCATTTCACTCTCTCCCTCCAAACCCAAGTTCCAGGGCATTGGTGTGGCACACCACCCCAGCTGGAGTGACCAGCCACAAATCCTCCAATCTTTAGGGGTGCATGCATCCCGGAAGTAGCGCGCACAGTTCTGTTGTAGAGTGACAACTTAATGAAGCAGATGCTGTAGAAAGGTATAGATGGGGAGGCATGTCTGGAGTCTCTAGTCCAACCCCTGCACAAGGCAGGGCTAACTCCAAAGCCAGATCAGGTTGCTCAGGGCCATGTCCCCTTGAAGTTTGAAGGGGATGAAGGATGGAGATCCCATCACCTCTCTGGGCCCTGTCCTAGGGTTTCACCACTCTCATAGGGAAAAGTATCCTCCACAGCTCTAATAGGAATTTTCTTTGTTCTAGCTTGTGTCCAAGTGCATCTTTGTACTGTACCTCTTTTTGGTGGTTGAAGAGAGTAATTAGATCACCTTCACCTTCTCTTTTTCAGGCTGAGAAAACCCAGCTCCCTCAGCCTCTTCTTGTATGCCATGTGCACCAGTCCCCCAGCCATCTTAATGGCCTCCACTGTAGTTTGTGGACTTCTCTCCTGTTTTTAGGGGTGGACAAATCTGGACATAATGTTTAGACATGGCTTCACCAGTGCTGAGAAGAAGGGAATGATCACTTCTCTTGACCTGCTGGCTGAACTCTGGCTGTTGCAGCATACCTGTTCCTTGTCCAAAGCCTGGTACACACCATTTCAAAGGCAAATGTGCTAAACTCTCTCTAAACTATGTCATCACTTTAATGACTGTAGCTGAACAGTCATTCAGGTAGCTGTAACTTCTCCCTCCCTCCAGTGTTCCTCTGCAGCACTTCACAGCCCTTTATGCCAGTCCCGTCTCAGCTTGAGCAATTGCCCTGAGGATCTGCCATACTATGCATTCTTCCCTTCTGTGGGTCAAACTGTTCGCTACATCCTTGCTGGGGAAAAAAAAAATCTCCGCATCAAGGCATGTTTCTACCAATGATTTTTCTTCAGATCCCTTAAAGAGTGGCAGCTCCCGCCACCAAGGTCTTCCTCCCTGTGCTGGAGGCAGGGATGCAGCAGTTTCCAAATCCTTTGTACTCATTTTCCAGGACACTGCTCTTCTTCCAGGACCTCTTCTGCCAAACAGTCTGCCAAATCATTCTCTTCCACTCCATACTCTCTTGCAATCTGCTACGCTTCTTGAATCCCTTCCTTAGATTACCATTTCTCATGGCTCCTGCAAGTGGACTTCCCTGCAGCACACTGGGCATCCCCAGGTTCCCCCCAAAAGCTTAGCATATGGACTTGGGCTTACTTCAAGAACTGTTCACCCTTTTGGCCTTGGCACAGACTCCATATCTGAGCAAGCTTCTTTTCCCCAGTTTTTTAGTGTCACTTCCCACGGTCCTGCCTTGCAAGGCTGCTCTCCTGGGTTTACACACATTCCCATCAGGACCTTGTAATACCATTGCAGAGAATCATTAGGTGGCTGACTAGTCCTGAGGAACTATGCTCCGAAAGGGAGAAAAACTGGATGCAGATGGGAATTGCAAATTGCAGACACAGGTCATCCCATCTTGCAAATGTCTTTAGAGAAAACTTCCTGCAGTTGTTTCAAGAGTATGTTCTGGTATTTGCCTTCCCTGCAAGTACCAAGACTGCAGATTTAGCATTTAGGGACATCAGACTGGGAAGTGACTTGAAGTATTAACTTGGTCATCCTGACATGATTTACAAGATAGGCTTTAATTATACACTTGCATACCAATTTGGTATTAGTTCGTCCTTCTGGCAGGCTGATAGCTTCTGAGGCTTCCCTAGATGAAGTGAAATTGTTGCTATAGGTTTGCCATATTCTCTAATTGCTTCTCTAATTCACAATCCCTTAAACATCTATGCACAGGGGCAGAAAGCACCCAGCATCAGCATAGGAAGCGTGACAAACACACTGAGCTGTCCTCTCCCCTTTTCCTTCTCATGATTAGACTGCACTTGCCTGGGCAGTCCAGGGAAATCACATAGCTTCAATCACTAGCATGTGCCTGTATGGAGCTTGCATTCCTATAAACTAGCTTAGACTGGCTAGAAGTGATTTTACAGATTTTTCCATATCCTGGTTTGCTCGCTCCTCTGTTTGATGAAACTGTTCTCACCCAGACCAAAGACTGTATCATATGCCAAAAACTGCTCATACGGCTGCAAGGAAGTAGGGATCTGGACGTGGGAGACAGGGCTCAGTGTCGATGGCAGCCTCAGCTCAGGTGGTCCGCAGATGTCAGCGGGCCTGGGAATTGCATAATGTGCGCCTTCGCATGTCTGCAGAGGGGAAAGGCTTGTTCAGGGGCTAAGCCAGGTGAGGCCAGCCCATGCACACTACAGTGAGGGTGTACCGTGGTTTGCAGTGGGGAACTGCATGAGTTTTCTCTGTTGTGCCTTGAGGATTTGGGGGCTGTTCCTGTTCAAACACTGTGGAGAGAAGCTGGGCTTGTGTGCAAGTCTATTCCCACATTGAAGCAGAATGGGGACATACCTCTACAGATCACCAAAATAACTGGTTGTTAGGCTTTGTGGAGATATGGCTAGCTTGACTCACAGCTCTCCAGCTTCTCAGACAATTATTTTCATGAGGATTTAAATTACTTCCGTTCTCATCAGGGGCATTTCATGATTTCTGTGCACTGGGGTAAATGGCTACTGAAGAGGCAAGAGTTGTAAGGACACAGATTCTCCTATCCAGGAGAAATACACAGAGTGCATCCATTGCTAATCCCAAGTGCAGACTGTTAATGCCTTTGTCACAACGTGCACCCAAATTACTCCAGATACCCCCATACCAACCTCTACGGTAGCACCTGCCAGAGCAGAGCTTTCGTACCTTCCAGAAAAGAACACAGTAAACAGTAGAGCTGGCAGAACATTTTTTTCATCAATACAACATGGCAAAGAAAAGAGTTCATTCAAATGGTAAGGATGTTTTTCATGTCCAAGTTTGATTTGAATACAAACAATCTCTTTTCGCTTTTTGGCATTTTTTCAGAAAACTATGGTTACATTTTCAACTTTCTGTTCCAGATTTTGGACTTAAAATGTAAAAATTCCAGAAAAAAAAACATGATTTTGCTGCACAAATTTGTGAGAATTGGAACATGAGATTTTAGGGGTTCCAGGGAAAGTTGTTATTTTTCAGCCCGTTTGGAGGCAGCTCTATCCCTGCAGCCTAGGGAACAAGGGGGACTCTGACAGCCCCGTGGGGGACCCTGCTCCTGGAGGCAATTTCTGCGCACTTGGAAAACTTAAGGCTTTTCATCCCAGGCTTGTAGCAGCAGGAGAATTTTCAGCTTAGCTTTGCCCTTCTTGCTTCAGCCCATTTTCCCTTGTACAGCCCTGTATCTCGCAGGTCATTCCTCCCCCTCTCCCCTTGGCATTTCTGGAGAACAAAATACTCATTTTGCAGTGAAAATAAGAGCCACAACACCTTAAACTTCTGGACAGGCAAAATGAATCACAGAAAAAATAGGTGCTACCAGCTGAAATGGACTTGGTCCTTTGAACATTCAGTCATGGGCTGAGCCCCGTTTCCACCTCGCCCCAGCCCACAGAAGTCACTTTAAAGGTCTTGGGGTCTCCTGCCACTGCGGCTCCTCACACCAGCTCCTCTCCTGCCCTCTCGCCCTAGCTGCTGTGGCCTGTGCCCAGGCCGGCCACATGGATGCCGTGGCCTGAGGATCACCCTGTGGCCTGCAGCCTGATCAGAGGGGTGGTCCCCAGCCTCCCCTGGCGCTCAGGGTGGCCTGTCTGGCCATGGAGACACCCCACCACCGCCTCTCCCACTGCCCCACTGCCCCTGCTCTGGGTGCCTTGACCACCCTGCTGGGGACTTTGCCTTTGCCTGTCAAACTTCATTCAGGCGAGTGACCTGCACCTGCTGCGGCAGTGACCAGCTCTGCCCCTTCCTCTTTGCGCCTCTGAGCTGACCCTCCGAGCAGGGTGGTGCCAGGTTCGGCCTGGCCAGAGGCACGGCGCTGCCAGGACAGGCAGTTGCAGTCAGCCTGCGCGCACGGGGTAGCTCCCTTCCCAGCCGCACCCAGGACTGCATCCCTTCCTGTCCCCTCTAACCCAGCGACGTGGTCGAGGCCTGTGCCACGGCCCACTGGGGTGTCCCAGATTGCCCTTGCGGCTCAGCATGGGGTTTGCGTACATCTCCCCAGGGAACTATTTCAGGAAAGGGTGGGGCCATTTTAAAGGCAAATCAGGGAGCAAAGATCAGCCTGATAAGCTCAAAAACCAAAGGAACAGTTAATGGGAGAAAAAAAGATAGTTATCACTCAGGCCCAAAGACATCTCCCCCCCCCACCCCCCCTCTCCATGTGCCCACGGCAGGGCTCCACAGCCATGGCCTGGCCCAAGGTGGCTGACCTGGAACTCGGGGCTCAGGACCTGGGCCTCAGGCTGTGCCTTTAAGCTCCCTGATGGTGCACAGGGCACCACCAGTGCAGAGTGTGGCTAAGTAGCCTTGACCGGCAGGATTTGGCCACATTCCCAGGAAACCTGGCCTTTCCATTGGTTCATCTGCTTGGCACGGCCACACTGTTTGCCTTGTGCCACTGGGGAAAGTTCAAACTCCTTGGTGATAGCGCAGTAGCCAGTGTGTAGCTGAGTCCTTAACTCTCTGCAGGCTGGAGCCACAGGGACATCAAGCCCTTCCCTGAGCCAGCGAGGGCCACCTGCAGCAGGGGGAGCATGCATACCCTGGGGCTGCAGGGTCCTGTGCCACCTGCATGGGGAAGGCCTCTGTGGCCCTGCCCCTCCAGCTGTGCCTTTCTCAGACACAGCTCAGGCTTATTCCACTTTGTGCAGGACACGCAGCTCCACAGTTTGAGGAACCCACAGCAGAGCCTGAGACCACCGCTGCTGTTAGCTGTCTCACTGTGTTGGGGCCACAGTAGGCCTGGGGCTGGGTGAGCAGCTGTGGCCTTGGCTCTCCTGGGAGAGACTGGCCCCTTCCATCCCAACAGGTGGGAGCACCTGCTCCCAAACACCTCCATCAGGCTCTGGAGTTGGAGGGCACCTCAAGAGACTGTGCTCCTTCCCCTAGCCCCAGCAGGATCAAACAATAGCATTCTCCTCACCTGTCTGCCCTGGCTCCCTGTCCAGCACACTTTCCTCCAGCAGCTGGGATCTTTCTGCAGACACTGTTGCCTGTTAGTGATATCTTGCTGTAATGTCAAGGATGGCATGCTGTCTTGCAAGCAGCCACCTCCCTGCACGGTAGAGCAGGACAAGAGTGCCTTCAGGGCTTCAGCTGTAGCCCCAGGCAGTCAGCGGTTCCCAAGCAGCTCCGGGGAGAAGTGCTGGCCCAGCTTGGCCAGCCCCGCTCTGCTGCATGGCACTCCTTGCAGAGCTCATCAGCGCCCAGTGACCACAGGAGAGAGCCCTGCTTGTGAGATGTGCAATACAGGGCTCCACGCTATTGCGTCAGGGGAAGTAGCTTTCAAGATGGGCTGGGCACAGAGTCTGTGTTAGAGGGTGCATGAAGGAAGCTTTAAATGTTTGAACAAACAAGCATGCTGGTGCTTAACGTGTTCTCTGGGCCCAGCTCTGCTCCCACAGCACTTCCATAAGAACGTGCTAAGATGACATCCTTCTGTCACACTACCTACAGGGTCTGTTGTGAGCAGCTGAGCAGATACTGGCAATGGAGAAATATGGCACTCCTATGCTCAGTCCAGCCTCTGCCTCTCCTCCTCCCTGCATGTAAAGGAAATTCATGGGACCTCAAGCAGTACCTATGGTTTTAAGGGAAAAACTTTTGGCACAGGAGGAATAGAAATAAGTGAGGCTGTGGCCTTACCCATGCTCTGTGCTGTGTGCTTGCGCTGCCAGTCTGGGCCTGAATTATGCCAGGCTTCTCCATGGAGAGATGCTGTAGAGTCCCCAGCCTGTTCTCTAAAGGTCCCTCCATTGCACTAGTGAGTGAAGCAAAGATCAGCCCCCTGCCACAGGACAGGCCCTGGAGGGTGGGAGAGCAGTGACAGCCAGCTGGGCTTACCAGGGAGAGGTAAAAAGGACCCCCAAACCAATAACAGGAGGGGGAGTACCAGCAGGATGGGGCCATGAAGGTTGGCTGGGGTGACAAGTGCTGCATGATAAGGCAAGAGGGGCTCCAGCCTCCTCTACAGAGCTCCTTGAGCAGAAGGACCCTTGGGAGCCCTCTGTGCAGCACCGCTGTATACATATAAGGGTGGCTTGTCTCTCAGCTAGAAGAAAATGAGTGTCATGGCTGGATTAGTGAAATGAGGCTGCCAGCACTGCAGACTCCATTAGGAACAAGCCTGCCACCACAACAAGCTGTAAAACAAACATCACTGCCTCCAGGAGCCTGGAAACAAAGAAAGAGGGAGCAGGGCTTGGGCTGGAGGGGCTGGGAGTAAGAAATGTGGGCCTACTCGCTGCTGAGGAAGCAGGTTTTGCAGTGGGTTGCACAGACTGGCAGGGCACAGAGGGGTGCCCAGGGCAGTGCTTGGCTGGAGGCAGGACAGGTCCAGATTGCTGCCCCTCTTTGGGGCAGGGGTAAGCATCTGTTAGTGGCCTCAGGCTTGTCATTCTGCCTTTCCCAAGACCCATCCAAACAACTTCCCCTTACCCTGCCCATCCTGCTGCCTGTGCCTGGCCACCCAGCTGAAGGCAGCCTTTCCAGGTCTTGGCTGGCATTAAAAAGAGTGTCTGCCCAAATGTCATGATGTGGCAAGAGCCACAGCAGCACATTGCTGGCATATTGGATGGCTTGGCAACTTCCCTTCCCAATCCAGCTGGTGCCAGGACGTAGCTGGCACTCATTGAAGGCTGCAGAGTCTCTCCCCAGAGCCAGCTGCATTGCAAATTTCAATAAATCAATTCTTCCATATGCTGTACTTTAATCTCAGGGGTTTAGGAAGCCTCTTGTGGATTTGTGAAGCTCCCCCTTTACATTTGTGCTGCTCTTAAGGAGTGAACAGGAGCTCAAGGGTACTCCCAAATTCACTTGCTGCGAGTGGGCCAGGCAGGGTGTGTGTGATTGAGGTGTGCAGCTAAGCTGACAACTGCACATGCCACATGGCAGGAGGCCTTGGGGCTGCCTCAGGGCACAGTGCGTCCCTCCTCATGAGGCCCCTGACCAGGAGGGCTCTAGGATGATCCTCCTCAGCCTCTCCTTTCCTTGGTATTTTAGTGGGAAGCTGGTGTCTCCAAAGTGGAAGAATTTCAAGGGGCTGCGGCTGCTTTGCCGGGATAAAATCCGTCTCAACAATGCTATCTGGAGAGCATGGTACATCCAGTGTGAGTATGAGGTCCCAGATCGTGGTCCCTCCTCCTGCAGAATCTTGGGTAATGATGTGTGGGAGAGGGACTGGTGCCGGGGCATTGGAGCCTCAGGCAGGGCCAGGAAAGGTGCTGGGCTGTATGCCTACGCATTCTTCCCTGTATAGACAGGGACCTGTGAGTAGAATCTGACTGTGTTTTCCCCTGGACAGATGTGGAACGGAGGAAGAGTCCCATGTGTGGCTTTGTCACGCCCCTGGAGGGGTCAGAGGCTGATGAGCACCGAAAACCAGAGGTAGCATAAAGGCCCTTGCAACCTTATGGGTCAGGGACAGGTCTGGGAGCATGGGCGTGAGCTGGGGCCACCGCCGGTCGCAGAGCCACCCAGATCACAGCATTTGCTGTATTTGCCAGGGAAAGCGTTTCCAAATTGGCCCAAGGAAATCAGCTTTGGCTGTGAGCTCATGGGAGCAAAAGGCCAGGAGCAGGTTGGAGGGCTGGCTGTAGGGTGCTCATGCTGGGAGGACATGGGCCCAGGGGTGCCGCATGGCTGTGACCACCCTGTCATTCTGCCTCTGCCAGGCTGTTGTGCTTGAAGGTAACTATTGGAAGCGTCGCATTGAGGTGGTGATGAGGGAGTACCACAAGTGGAGGATCTACTACAAGAAGCGGGTAAGTGGTGCTGCCTCTACTGCTGTCTCTTCCATGGTAGTGGCGGTGGTGCGATGGGCAGGTAAGGGCACCTGACACGGCAGTCATAACTGCAAGAAGCACACTGACCTGGAACTGGCCATGGCAGGTTCTCGGCTGGTGCAGGAGGTGGAGGCTGGCTCCCACCAGGGCCTGTGCTGTGGCTCCACGCCTGCTGGTGGAGGAGAGCTCTGTGGAGACCCTGGTCTCAGCAGCATGCAGAGGTGTGGTGTGCAGTCTCGCAGTCTGGCCCAGGATGACCCTGCCTTGCCTGTGACATGATCTGGGGCTAGGGTTTGCCAGGCTGTGGTTGGCAGCTCAGGCACTGGGCTGGGGCTTGCTGGGCTGTGGTTAGCAGCACACCCATGGTGCACGTGCTGGGGTGGGATGAGCAGGGCCATGGCTCACCCATGGCTCACCTCCTGGGCTGGGATTTGCTGGGCTGCAGCTGGCACCTGTGGTTCACTCGTGGCTCACCCTGCCAGCACGTGCTGCCAGGCAGGCCCAGGCTGTCCCGGGGTGACCCCAGGCAAGTGCCCACTCTCCAGGCCTGCCATCTAGCGGCTGCATGAACATCTCCATGGCCCTTGGCCACTCGCCACGCAGGGTGGAGCGTGATGCCAGCCTCCTCCCTGGCTGCCCGCTCAGGCCTGATAAAGCCCAGGGTGCTACGAGCCAGGGCAGGGTACTGGCAGTCTCCACACCGTGTTCACCACTACGCTGGGCTCTCACTGGCGCAGCAACAACTTAGCCATTGGCATCACAGGGAAAGGCCTAGGCCCTGTAAAATAAAGGCAGATGTGAACTCATGGTGGCCTCAGCCAGACCTTAGAGCAAGCAGTGCGTGGGGTCCTCCACACTCAGAGTAGGTGACCAAGGGGGCATGAGGACAGGCTCTGTTCTGCAGAGCTCCCCAGGGACCCCTGTCCTGAGCCCTGCCACCCTCTGCCCTGCCCCTAGCACTGCCCAGGACCTGGAGGTGCCAGCCCCAGCCAGAGGTAACAGGCTGTGTTCTCCTTCCAGCTCCGAAAGTCCAGCCGGGAGGGGGAGCTCTCCAGCCCAAAGCGGGTGAGTCCCCTGGGGAAGGGCTGGGTAAAGGGGGTGGAGGGGTGGGGGGGGAGTGGGGCACAATGTGGATCCCTGTGCAAGGCATTTTGGGAGAAGGGAGGGAAAAGACCCAGGGCATGAAAACCCCCAATGGGTATGGTGGCCTACCAAGCAGAAGCACTTTGGATGCCAGGTTCTCCATTCCAGGTGGAACAACACACAAGCTGTGAAGTTTTGGGTTGATAAATACAGCAGGGACTGTGGGAACCACCCAGGGAGAAAGGCCAGGGAGGAGGGAGAAAAAACTTCTTTACTGTGAGGGTGACAGAGCATTGGAACAGGTTGCCGAGAGAGGTAGTGGAGTCTCCTTCGCTGGAGATATTCAAAACCCGTCTGGATGTGATCCTGGGCAATATGCTCTAGGTGACCCTGCTTGAGCAGGGAGGTTGGACGAGATGATCTCCAGAGGTCCCATCCAACCTAAACGATTCTGTGATTCTGTGATTCTGTGAGGGTGTGGGCCCTGCCCACAAAAGGTGCCCACTGGGCTCCTCTGCTGACTCTCTCATGCAGGATGAGGATGTCTGGAGGCCAACAGAGAAATGGTGCAACCAGCTTTTCTGCAATGTGGTGCCCATGCTGCTTGGGGATGAGGAAGAGGACCCTGGGGGTAGGCAGCATTTTGACTTGGACAGCTTCCTCTCAGACATCTCTGACACCCTCTTCACCATGACACAGACGCCCAGCGCCCACCAGGAGCTCCTAGAGGATGGTAGGTGCCCCAGGCCATGCTCTTACCTGAGGTGGAGGATGAGATCCAGGCAGACAGATGCTTCATCGCAGACATTGCTTCCTCTTGGCTTAGCCCCTGAGGAGCTGTCTGTGTCCTTTGGACGTGAGCCCTTAGAGCCCCCTGGCAGTGATCAGAGCCTGGGGACCCCTCCTGCCTGGAGCAGGAAATGGAGATGCTCTTGCCCTACACAAATGGAGCAAGGAGCTGCTGGTAGCTCTTTACGGGTCAGCCTGAAAGCTTTCCCCAAGGAAGCTGAGGTGTGGTGCTGAGGGCAGTGTGTCATAGCAGTTAGTGAGCCCAGGGGAGGAGCCAGGTGAGCCTGCCTTCTTCCTCACCTCAGCAGAGGCCTGCTGGGCTGGCCCAGGGAAGCACCCTGCTGTGCCAGGCCCCCAGGATAGCTCTGCAAGGCTTGAGCAACCAGTAGGTAGATTTTGCTTGCCATAGACTCTATTTGCTGTCCCTTCCTGGCCTGGTCACGAGGGTTGCTCTGTGTCAGGCCTCCCTGTGGTCCCAGGGAGGCCCTATGCCAGAATTAGCTGCTCTCTGTGGGTTCTTGGGCCCTGGATGAAGCTCCAGTGGCATTGAAAGGCAGAATACTGAGGACTGGTTGGCTCTGGAGGCTGGGACTCTCCAGGGTGGGCACCCCCTCCCCTGTCCTTGAGCTGCTGTGGGGCAGGGTGGGGTGCTCTGATGCGGGGTGATGCTAGGATACTTGGGAAGGTGGTGGCAATAAGGCAGGCACGACGGGAGATGTGGGATGAGCACTGAGAGGAGAGGGCCGTATGGACACAATGGCCAGGTCCTAAGACTGCAGCTCTGCCTTCTTCCAGCTTATATTTGGAATGCTGATATGATCCAACCAGACTTGGCACCCCTGCAGCCCAGCCTGGATGATATCATGGAGATCTCAGGTAGGAACCAGCCTGGATGTGGTGCAGGGTCCCAGCTGCAGACAGCCCACTGTGCTCTGCACCCCATGGCAGGGAGAAGTGGGGAGGCAGAGGGCTGCCAAGGCAGCAACAAGGCCCCAGCAGCTGCTGCTGGAGCAGCCAGAAAGCATCGAGGACCTGCCAGCTTTGAAAAAAGCTTGATGCGTGGACCACAGTACTGTGCTAGGCTGTAGAGCAGGGACTGTGCCATGTACCCAGCTGTGCCCAGGGCAGAGCCATGGCAGGTGAGGAAAGGCCTGGCCAGAAGCTGTGGAAGGGAATTTCTCCAAACTGAGGGTCTTTCCAGGAGTGTTAAACCATCTAGGTTTGGCTGCAGAGACAGGAAGGACAACTGCCCCCATTGGAAAGACAAACCTCTAGAGAGAGCAGGTTCTGAGCTGCCATGCCCCCCCTTCTCATCGCACACAACTGCACCATGCTGGCTGATCCCAGCCAGCGGGCAGCCCCAGGGGGCTGGCTTGGAGCTGGGACTCCCGTGCTGGGCAGTGCTACATCTCTTGGGGGCAGGGCACCGCCCCTGCCAACCTGGCCCCAAGAGAGAAGAAATCTGTCACTGGTTCTCAGCCAGGCTGGAGGGGCAGTGGGGCTGCTGAGAGGGTCCCTGGGAAGCAGGCAATGGCAGCCTCTTCCCATGGGGCTGCCATCAGCTCTGCCATGCAACACAAGGCAGACAGGCTGCTTGGAGCCTACAGTGTGCTTGGGGCTGATGCAGAGAGCACTGGGCATGGAGGGAGTGCGCAAAAGGAGCAGAGAACTAGGAGCAACAGGACTATTACAGGGAAGGAGAGCTGGAAACAGTGGAGGGCAGAAGAGCAGATACCAGCACCACACTGGGTGACCATGCTGGTGTCTAGCAGCCTAGGGATCTCCCGGTAGCAGTAACAGGCACAGATTGCAATGTCCTTCCAGTCGCCATGTCCCCTTATGCAAAGCCAGCCCTCGTGTCCATCATGGTCACACAGTGTCCATGAGCTCCGCTGAGCTCAGGATCCATCAGCCAGGATGCATCCCCATCCTGGCTGTGTTGTGCAGTGCCCTTGTGGACTGTGCCAGGGCCATGCATCACCAGCACATGTTGCATCAAAGATGAGCTCTTCTGCCCTTGAATATGCAGGAGTTGGTGGCCTGCAGATACTTTGCAGGGTGGGAGCAGGTCTGGCCTGCCAGGCTCGGTTCTCCTGGGCAGCCAGCAGCCTCGGGTGGCACCAGTGTCTCTGGAGCCCTTGTTCAAGCTCTGTGCATCTCTGAGTGCCCTGTGAGCTGGGCCTGGCCAGGGCCTCCTGGAGCTCCATGGCTAGTCTCCACTTCCCATTTCCCTCTGTTGGAGGAAATAAGTGTGCTTGCACCATAGGGCTGCAGGGTGATGCAAGACCAGATGCTGACAGAGAGCAGAAGGCAGATAAAGAGCCTGACGTGCCAGGCCAGGTGAAGGGATGTCCTCTGCCAGCACCATATGCTAGCCTGGATATGGTGAGAAGACCATCACCAGCCTGTCCCA